CCTGCACCATTGGTGAGAATGCAAATTGGTATAACTATTGTGGAAAACAATATGACAGTTTCTCAAAAATTTTCAAATAGAACTATCATATAATCCAGTAATCCCCCTTGGTATTTATGCAAAAGACAGGAAAGCATTCAGTCAGAAAGATACTAGCACATCCATGTTTGTTGCAGCATTATTCACAATTGCTAAGACATAGAATGAATCCAAGTGACCAAAAACTGATGATTAGATTGAAAAACTGTGGCATGTATTCACTATGGAATATTACTCAGACATAAATAATAGCAAGACAGGGTGGATGGCTATAAAAAGGTTTAATACTACATGAAATAGGCCAGACTATGAAAGACAAACATTTTATATCCCTGCTCAATAAATACTGAATGTCTGCACTCTATAGCAGAAATTAAAAGATTCAAAGATACAGTAGTAGGGAAGGAGTGTGTAGATACCAGAGACTGTAGGCGTGGGGTGGAATAGTGAAAGGGTGGGTGGGAAGAGCTCAGGGAAAAAGCATTTAAGAGATATAAGAATATAAGGTTCTTGTTAAAATTATGTACATGGTAATATCTTTGATTTATCATACCACTTGCACATTTCTAAATATTATACACCATAAAGATATACACAATTAAATATAAATAAGAAATTATAAAATAAAAATTAAAAAAATAAAAATAAGACTATCAAGTCCAGTAATATTTTAGAAGTTATACCAACATAGACTTTGCCCTAAGAATATAAAATTGGTCTAATATTCAAGTATTGATGAATTGTTGTAATTAATTATAGAATTATCTAACAAGATTAAGAAAAATCCATCTGTCTACATTCAGCATCCATTCATAGTTTAATAAAAAAGCACAAATCTCAGCATAGTAGGAATAGAAGTACTTTCTCATCCTGAGTCATTATAAGTGTTATCGAGAGTACTATGGGAGGAAACAAACCATATTAGATGTAGGACATTTTATTGTGATTATTTATTGGATAAGATAAATGACATATAATAACAATGTGTGATTTATTTTTTAGAAATGTCATTCACGATAAACAGTAAAGGTATAATTATTAAAAAAAAAAAAGGTGCCCAGGGAAGCTTTGTGTGTGTGTGTGTGTGTGTGTGTGTGTGTGTGTTTCATTTTGCTATAGGGCACATGTGATCACCAGAGAGAGAGTGAGAAATCGCCCCTTGGGGGAATGGCTACACCACAATCCCTTCTCTTGGAATTTTGGGTCACATCCATGATCTTGGCATGTTTTCGAGCCACCAGTCTAGACTCAAATTGTGCAGTTGGTTATGTGGAATCAGCCACCTTAACTACCATGTCACTGGCTAGTCCAGGAAGACTTCTTTTGAGAAGCAATTTAATACATGTCAAGTACATGAAGTAGTCTTCTATTTAGATATGTAGGAAAAGAATAGAGGAAATACATGAAGCAGGCACATTCATGCTTTATTTGAGGGAAATTGGCATGGCTGGAGTAGATTGAATCAATAGAAGGCTTTGGGAGTAGGCAGACTGTAGAACCTTCTGGGCAATTTTAAGAATTTTGCCTATTTAGAGTGATATACAAAAACATTAGAGAAGTTTTTAAGTAGAGGAGTAACATTCTTATTTAAGTTTTAACATTATTCTGGCAGCTTTTGAGGATAAATTTAAAGGAGTACAAGGATAGAAGCAGAGTGTCCAGTTATTCAGATGAGAAGTGATAGTGGTTTATGTCAGGTTGGTAACAGATGAAATAATGAGATGGTCAGGAGGTATAATCTTAAAGGTTGAGACAATAAGATTTGCTGGCAGATCAGATGTAGAGGGGCAGTGAGGAAGTAAGAGTTAAGGATGACTTCAGGGTTTTTGTTTTGTTTTGCTTTGTTTTTGCCAAACAACTGGACAGAAAGAATTGCTGTTAAATGTAGAAAGAACAGATTTGGAAGAGATTAAAAGTTTAAGATCAGTTTAAAATACATATTAGACATCCCCACTATAGTTGTTGTGCAGTTGGAGTTCAAGGCTGGAGTTAAAGAGAGAGGTCTAGTCTGGAAATAATTACTTGGGAGTTGACAGTATGTAGATGTATTTAAACCCTGAGATTGAATATGATCACTGATGGGGTTAACATAGATATAAAAGATAAACCAAAGAATAAAGCCTTAAGTCACCAACTAAGGGACTGAGCTCTAAGTCACTTCATTCTAAGGAATGAGGGGAAATGAGAAGGAACCAGCAACAAAGATTAGGAGGATCTAGTAAAGTTATAGGAAAGCCAGGACTGCATTTTGTCAAGTAAAGTATTTCAAAGAGGAAGAAGTAATCAATTATATCAAATACTGTTGATAGGTTAAAAGATAAGGAACTGGAGCCAGCAGGTGGCATGGTGGTTAAGGCACTAGACTCCTACGTGATCAGCCACAGTTTGAGTCCCAGAACTGGCAGTTTGCCTTCTCACTTTCTCTCTGATCAAATTAAAAAATAATAATAAATTTAATTTAATAATTCCTTAAAGATAAAGAACTAAGAATTTACCATTGAGGGCTGATCCCATAGCTTAGTGGTTAAGGGAGATGAATTCCATATGGCTGACCCACTGTTCACATCCCTGCCATGATGACATGACGGTGCATGTGTGTACATGCTCAGAATCTTGACAAGATGCAAGAAATGAAAGAGAAGGGATTACAGTATGATCATGCCCCATTGCCTCCCCTCCCCCATTTCTGTCTGGCAAGGGCGCATGCTCTCTGACAGTAAGAGAATTGACTTAACATTTCTTGGTGACTTGGCAAGAGCAGTTTTGGTAGAGTGCTGATATGAAAGACTAATTGGAATTGACTTGGTTTAAGAAAGTTGAAAAATTGGAGATAATAAATACTGCATATATTCTGTTTTTGAAGAGTTTTACTATAAAGAGTTGTAAAAAAAAAGTGTGGTTACTAAGGGAAGTGTGAGAGTTTTAGAAAATAAGTGTTTGTATTTTTTTATGGGAGAATACAGTACATTTATATACTAATGAGAATGATCTAGTAGAGGGGAGAAAAACAGTGATGTAAAAAGAAAATGGGAAGAATTGTTGGAGTGGTACACTTGGAAGCTAGAAGAGATAAGTTTTGGGACCAGCAGATGGTGCAACGGTTATGTCGCTGGACTGTCACATTGTTGACCACAGTTCGAGTCCCAGACCCGGCAGCTTGAAACTCATGCTGAGTGTGTGTGTGTGTGTGTGCGTTTATGCCCAAAATCCCAAGAGGAGAATAGAGGAGAAGGGATTATGGTGTGGCCATCCCCATTGGGTGGTGATTTCTTACTTTCTGTCTCTCTCTGTCTCTCCAGCTAGCACGTGCCCTGTAGCAAAAATCTCAATTAAAAATAAAAAGGCTTTAGGGCATGAAAGCAGGTTGGCTTTTGCTAAGATCAAATCTGTTTTAGAGATTTCCAAGACCATCTTCAGGTGTGATGATTCACCAGGAAGATTCACAGTATTCAACTTGTAGTTGTACTCATGATCGTGACTTACAACAGTGAAATTAGTAAAGGGAAAAGGTAAATGGAGAAATCTTTAGAAAACCAGGTGTAAACATCCAGAAGTCCTCTCACAAGGGAGCCACACAGGATGCACTCATTTCCTACACCACCTAGTTGTGTTATGTGTAAAATATGGCAGAAACTCTAATTAGAGATGTGGTGCCTGAGGTTTTATTGAGTACTTACCACGCAAACATCCTCTGCCTAGTACATACTGATATTCAAGCCTGAAGAGCAGCAGATATTCAGAAAAACCATATTGTTTGCACAAACAATTTGTGCAAAGTGAGCTGTCCTTATCATTTAGGGACTGGCAGGAATAAGTACAAAATATCAGATCCCAGACCAAAGCCAAGAGCCAAGCTAAGAGCCAACCTTGCAGGTAGTCCATCTTAAGGACTTTAAGCAGTGTCAGGTGTACTAGGTTAACATTTTTTTAATAAGGTTCAATTTACTCATAGTCACAGAAAAGAAGGCATATATGAAGCATCAGTGCAGCTGGTGATGAGCAAACGTTTGATAGTGGTACTGAAGATAGTGGTGAAGGTGGATTTTTTTACAAAGCTTTATTTTTCTTTCTTCATTTTTTGAGAGAGATTTTTGCTATAGGAGACAGCACAGAGAAAGAGATAAAAGATGAGAAATCAACTCCTAGGGGGATGGCCACACCACAGCCCCTTTTCTTCCATTCTCCTCTCAGGATTTTGGGCACATGCACCTGGCATAAGGTTTTATTTTATTTTTTGTTTTGTTTTAGAATCATTTTATTTAACTTTATTCATTCATTCATTCATTCATTCATTTAACTTGACCAGAGAGGGCAGAGCGAGAGGAAAGTGAGAAAGCAAGGCATCAGGTTCGGGACTTGAACTGTGGTCACCCACATGGCAGTCCAGCGCCCTTAACCACCACGCTACCTGCCGACCCCTCAAAGCATTTTTTTTTAAATGCATAACCATCAGTGAACAAATGTTTAGAATTAGATCTATTTTTAAACCCAATGTACAGTAGAGAAATAATTCTATGAGAGGAGATACTAGCATGATGAGGTAGAATATTGCTATGAAAACTATAATTACCTTGGCTTATTATGGTATTTTCAGTGTCAAACAAATGGTCTGATTTTTTTACAGCTTGTAAAATCTAATATTCTGGTATATAACAAATATAATTACACCTCAGATTACATGCAGCATAGCAAATGGTACAAACATGACTTGCTAGACCAAATGTTCTGATTTTGGTTCAGAAAACCAAGGTATAGTTGTTAAAAATATTCGGCAGAATGCAAAGTAGCATGTTTACTCTAATTAAAACTACATGAAAATATATTTCTGTACCTCTTGAGAGGAGGTTGTATAAATAGTTTGATTTATTTTTCTGTAAAATTACTCATATGCAGCGAAAAACAAGTGTTTTTTATTATGATACAAAGCCTTAATTATGCTGTGGTGATTTCTTTTTTAATAGGGTCAAGAATTTGCTCCCAAAAGTGTGGCAATAATTGGTCATTCTATGGGTGGCCTTGTTGCAAGAGCGTTGCTTACACTGAAAAATTTCAAACAAGATCTGATAAATCTTCTTATTACACAAGCCACACCTCATGTTGCTCCTGTGATGCCATTAGATCGTTTCATTACAGGTGAGTATTGTTACAGAAACACTGACTGACCTCTGCATTGCTGTCTAGGATTAAATAAATAAATCCTTGCAGCTATTTCTTTTAGCACTTATAACAGATTTATCCATGTGTGAAGCAGCCTTATTACAAATCAGCACCTCCAATTCTGAGCATCTCTCTTTATGTCTTTCAACTTAGGCTCCTAAATGAAACTACTCTGTTTTCTCTGCTCATAGCCTCTTAACATGGCTGACATGTGTTTCATAATCCCTAGGCACTAGGACTTTAATTGAGTTATTCTAGAAGATGATTCCCTGTCTCTTAAGATATGTTTAAACTTTTAGTGCTTTATTAACTCTTTCAGTGCTCTATCCAAAATAAGCATATGTTTAAGTAAAACAGTAGCAATGTTTACTTGTTAAATAGATTTACTAACACTTGATATAATTAAATAGGTTGCTAATATTTACTGAGCTCTTATTCTGAATATTGTGTTAAGGACTTCACATGGTATCTGAAGCACACTTAGTCCTCTCAGCATTCCTGTAAAGTAGGTACCATTATTGTATTGCTCCGTGTTCACCAGAGAAACAAAACCAACAGGATGTGTGTGTGTGTGTGTGTGTGTGTGTGTGTGTGTGTGCACGTGTGTGTGTATACATATTATCTTACATGATCACAAGGTGAAGAAGTTCAACAATAAGCTATCTGCAGGCTGGAGAAACAGCTATAAGACTCAGAAGCAAAGAAGCCAATGGTGCAGCTTCCAGTCTGAGGCTGGTGCAGCTTCCAGTCTGAGGAGGTTATAGGCCTGAGTATCAGTGGGAGGCTGAGTCCAGAGTCCAAAAGTTAAAGAACTTGGAGTCTGTCTGGCTAGAGGGGTACCAGGGCCAAATGTTGATGGGAAATAGTTGCACCCAAGGGCCAAATAGCAAAGCAGGGAAGGAGCCAGCAGATGTGTAGGCAGCAGGAGCAGAACATCCACCATGCTCTCTTTGAAGGAATGGTTGTGGGGAGAGAGAGGAAACAGAATCCTCATGTCCTTCCCATACTCCCAACCAATTGGATAGTACCCTCCCATGTTGAAGGCAGGTCTTCCTCCCTTAGTCCACTTACTCACACGCAAGTCTTTTCTGGCAACATTTTTTTTTTAAGAGGTTTTTGCCTTAAGGCGTGTGCACTCTCTGGAGAAGAGAGACAGACAAAGGCAGTCAGAAGGACTCCTCTAGAGGGGATGCCCATGCTGCAATCCTGTCTCCTCCATTCTCCCAGGATCTTGGGAACGCGTACACACATGCCCAGCATTGAGTTTCAAGCCACTGTGTCTGGGACTTGAACCACAGTTGACCGTGTGGGAGTCCAGTGACGTAATCACTACGTCAACTGCTGGTCCCCTGGCAACACTTTCATAGACACACCCAAGAACAATGCTGCACATGCCATTCAGAAATCCCTCCCTTTAATCAAGTTGACATTCAAAATTAACTGTCACAATTATCATCCCCTTCATTATGGATGAAAAATAGAGGCCAAAATAGTTATTGCCCAAAGTCAGAATGGCAAAAAAGTAGCAGAGCCAACAGTTGACCTTGACAAACTTGCTCCTGGACTGTGCTCTTAACTTTTGCATACTGTATTACCTCTTAATTGAGATACAGTGCTATAACATAGGAAATTATAGCTAAAACTATAATGTTGCAGAGAATTTTGATGACCATAGGAATTTATTATTTATGCATCTAATAAAATATTAATAATGTCATGTAATAATAAATGCCTACTATCTCAACTTTTTGTTAAAGTATTTTCACTGCTTGTAGGAATATATGATAGAAAAATTTTAGAATTCTTCCTACTCAGTAAATTTATACAACTTCTCAGCTATCAAAATTTGCATTATTGTGATTTTTTAAAAGAATTACTTTAATTTCATTTTACTTATTCATCCATTCATTTTAATTTGACCAGAGAGAGACACAAAGAGAAAAGCGAAAGTGAGAAAGTCACCAGGTCCAGGACTTGAACTGTGGTTGGTCATGTGGGAGTGTCCAGCGATTTAATAACCACACCACCTGCTGGTCCCACATTACTGTGATTTTGATGAAAATTTTGTTTGTAGTTAAGTAAGAAATATCCCCTACCGACTCCAAACCAAAGTGGTTTTCTACAGCGCTCTTCTGAACATAAAAACATAACCAAGGAATAATTTTATTTGCTGAGAGTAACTGATGCAAAAATACTTACTGTAAAATTTCATTTTTCTGTTATTATATTTAAAATTTTCACCAAAAAAATTGCCAATAGAAATCTCTTGATAACAAAACATGGAGAGTGGAGGTGAAGGGATTGTGGCATTGTCATCCCCCTTGGTTATGATTTCTCTTTTTCTGACTTTCTGTCTTCCCAGAGAGCGCCATGCACCCTGTAGCAAAAATCTGTATTAAGAAAGTTTTTTTTTTAAGTATGCACTTTTTTGTTGTTGTTGTTGTTATTTGTTTGGTTGGTTGGTTGGGTTTTTTTGAGAGGTTTTTGCTATAGGGCACGTGTGCTGGCCAGAAAGAGAGAGAGAGATAGAAAGCGAGAAATCACCCCCCAGGGAGGATGGCTACGCCACAATCCCTTCTCCTCCATTCTCCTCTCGGGATCTTGGGCATGCACGCACATGTGCCTGGCATGAGTTTTAAGCCACCGGGTCCGGGACGCAAACCACGGTCGACTACGTGGGAGTCCAGCGACATAGCCATTACGCTAACTGCTGGTTCCTGAAGTATGTACTTTTAAGAGTCAGGTTTTATTACTTTATTTATTTTTTTAACTTTTATTTATTATTATTTTAATTTGCTATAGGTGCATGCACTTATCAGAGAGAGAGGGAGAGAGAAAGCAAGCCACCACCAGATCTGGGACTTGAACCATGGTCGGCCATGTAAGAGTCTAGTGCCTTGTCACCACAACTGCACCACCTACAAACCCCCAGGTTTGATTTTTAAAAATAACTCCTTTATCTAAAAGGCTCAAGCTGAAAAGGGTTGTTAAGCATCAGGATGCCTTTTCTGTAATTAGTAAGCCTCTTTTCCTTTTTCTTTTTTTTTTTTAATTGCATTAAGTCATGATTAGAATGAAAAAACAATAGAACTAGTTCAAAGGGCTATGGGTTTAAACTTTTTGAGAGACAGAGATAAATATGACCCCTAGAAGGAGATTTCCTGCTTATAATTGACTGAAATACTGACCCTTAAAAGAGGGGAAGGAAGCCCTGCACTGGGCTCTGTACTTCTAGAGAGCCCTCTTTGGCCCTGCCATTTCTCACAGCGTGAGAAGTGTGCAGGTTAAGCAGCTTCTGTATTTGGAGCTCATGCCTTTCTTTCTAGACCATAATCTAGAAAAGCAAGCCTACAGACTTTTCTTGCCTGTATGCCCTATGCCCATTTCCAGGACCCGTGTGGGCCTCCTACGTGGCTTTGTTCTCAGGAAGGGAGGTATGTGCAATCCTATGCCTGAGTTCTGGCCATTGGACAGCTCTGCAGAAAGTACAGATAACATGTGAGGACCTCGTGATGCATGGTGGAATTGGGATGGAAGAAGGATATCACAGCAGTGGGCCAGAGATCTGCTTCCTCACTGCTGCCATAATCCAGTGTCTAACTCCAAGGTGTCTAAGAATTCTTCATTTGAACCTAGATGTTTAGGTTATTTCAGAGATAAATTTTTCAAGATAGAGAACATGCTATTTGAGTTAACAGTTTGTTAGCTGGATTTTGGCTTTTAAATATTTAAACATATGACATTTTTACCCCATTAAAACTTTTATCTTAGGACTTCCAGATGTTAGTATTGGCTTGGTGGTGATTTAGGTAAATACTGCTGAGATCTCTAAGGGGGAAGCTTGCTGTACCAAATGTTTGAAGCCCTGAGTAGGAGCAAATGTAACATTAAAATGCATTAAGTTTTGAGATCATAAAAGGAAATGAGAAGTCTTCTTCCCTGACTTCAATTTAATAAACTTTGACCCAGGCCAGCAGGTGGCTTGGTGATTAAGGCTCTGGACCCCACATGGCCAATTGCAGTTTGAATTCGTACTCGGAGGCTTGCTTTCTCACTTTTCCTCTCTTTCTGTCTCTCTCTAGTGAGCTCACATGCCCTATAGCAAATTAAGAAATAATAATAATAAATTAATAAGTAAGTTTTAAAAATCTGACACTGAAATTATCTCACCTCCCATTAACGAAGTGAAGAATTATCTTTAAGTTTCTTCCCTTGTAACTACTTGTTCACTGAATTGGTAGGACCCTAACCCCGAGATTTTTCAAAACAGCATAGTCCTAAGACGATGGCAGTGGTTGATATTGTCTTGATAGATTGTGAGAACTTAAATAGTGCTTTGTGTGGTGGTGATTGGCAATAGTGGAGATTTGCTAAGCCTTTATAAGCAGGAATACTGTCATGATAGAGATCTACAGCTCTTTAAAAAAAAAAGAAGAACAAGGGACCAGTAGTTGGTGTAATGGCTATGTCGCTGGACTCCCATGTAGTTGACCACAGTTCGAGTCCCCAACCTGGTGGCTTAAACTCATGCCAGGCGCGTGTGCGTGCATGCCCAAGATCCTGAGAGGAGAATAAAGGAGAGGGGATTGTGGCGTGACCATCCCCCCAGGGAGTGATTTCTCGCTTTCTGTCTCTCTCTCTCTCTCTCTCTCTCTCTTTCTGGCGAGCGCTCGTACCCTATAGCAAAAACCTATCCAAAAAGAAAAAAAAAGTAAAAGAAAAAAAACAACAAAATATGTTACTGGGACCAGCAGATGGCGTAATGGTTATGTTGCTGGGCTCACATGTAGTTGACTGCAGTTTGAATCCTAGACCTGGCAACTTAAAGCTCACAACAGGGCACGAGTGCATGCATGCCCAAGATCCCAAGAGGGGAATGGAGAAGGGGTTGCAGCTGTGGCCATCCCCCCAGCAGTGATTTCTCGCTTTCTGTCTCTCTGTCTCTCTTTGTCCTTCTGGTGAGCACACGTGCCCTATAGCAAGAAATCTCTTAAAAATAAACAAATAAAATTTAAAAAATTATTTAGGGTAATTGATGTACAAAGAAATAACACATATTTAAGATACATTATGATGGATTTGGACATACTATGAAACTAACACAGCAATGTCTACAAATGTTTAGCATACTAAATTCTTGGAAGAATTTTAGGATTTTCTCTTATTGTACTGTGAACAGATGTGAAATGTAGAGGTATATTTGCATATGGACTTGTCAAAGCTAGTAAAACGTGTGCATCTTTTTTTTCTTTATTGATGCCTTTATAACTCATAGTATTTGTGCTCTAATTTAATAGGAAAGCAAGAGTATTTATAAAGGTACTGATTTTACTCATAATAGAGAAATGTGAATAACACATTGTTTACAAACCAGATGGCTTAGGCAAAAATTAATTTAAATATTAATATTATAGATACCTTACTCGTGTAGATGACTACTTTTTAATATCTTTTTTTTTATTCCCTATCAGATTTTTATATGACTGTAAACAACTATTGGATTCTAAATGCTCGACATATAAATTTAACCACACTTTCGGTAGCTGGAGGATTCCGGGATTACCAAGTTCGTTCAGGACTGACTTTTCTACCAAAATTAAGCCATCATACCAGTGCCTTATCTGTTGTGGTAATCTTTTTTAAGATTCTACTGAAACAGTAAAGTAAATGACACAGTATAGCATGAAGGGAGGGAAAATGTGAAGCTGTTGATATTTGGAAATGACTGCCAAGTTGGTGTAGAGGCCTCCTGCCTGTGCATACATGTGTATGTGTGTGAGAAAGAAAGAGAGAGAATGTGAGTGAATGAGTGTGAATGTGTTGGGAGGGCAGAGTGGTACATAGAAAGTAAAAAGGATCTTAAGAATTTTGCAAAAATGACTCATTTATGAGGAATAATTTTATGTTGTCCACGATAAAAGACTATTCATTGATTAGAGTTCTAACTGTTAATATATTAGAAAGTATAAACTGAAGTTCAAGCAAATCCAGTTATACCTGTGTGTTGACTATATACGGAAGTAGTAGAATACCAAATATACCACGTATTCCTGAACACTGAATGTAAATTAAGGTTTACCAGTTTTAAAATAAGATGATAGCTCTGATAGTTCAAATTTAAGAACCTGATTAGTTAATTTTCTATTAATCCTTCCTTGTTTGGACATCAAGCAATTGGTCTTTCACTGGTATATATGTAGAGGGATATCAAGTTTCCTTTTTTTTTTTTTTTATAAGACACTTTTGCTATAGGGTACGTGCACTTGCTGGGGGGGTAGAGAGGGAGAGA